GTTAGTTCTGTGCGAGTCTCGCCAGGATGCATCAGCACACCATGGTACCATTCAACTAGCTTCTTCTGCATAGTTTTAGGGTACGACGATTTTTCGTCCTTGACTACTAAGTCGTAGGACTTATCCCTCTGGGAAAGATTGCTTCTTGTAGTCGTTTGGCTTGTCCCTGAGGAGACTTCTTGATATCGTTGTCGTCTTTCTGACGATGTTCGATCTCGGGGAACGAGAGAGGGAACTCACTAGGGAAGTCCTCTTCGTCTGCAGCCATGAGCTCAGCGATCTCGCTGGCGTCCATCTGTTCTGAAAGAACCGTCGTTGTTGAGATGTTAAGTCTCGACAACGCATCGGCGACGATGTTCTGTTGCCCTTGATGTACCGTAGTTCAGGGCCGTATTCTTTCCAGAATAAGGCGCCATCGCATTACGCGTCGGTATTGAAGTTCTTACATGTAAGATTCTTGTGGTCCGTATGTACAACGTTCTTCTGTCCTAGAAGAATTGTTACGAATTCTTTAGAGTTTCTGCGATACTGAGAAGTTCCTTCTCGTTAACTGTGTAACGTTTCTGAGCAGGGTTGAGCTTTCTGCTGTATAAAGCGATAGGTTTTCCCTTCGGGAAATTACCGCACCTAGTTGAGTATCACTCGCATCCGTGTGGATAACGAATGTATCGTTGAAGTCAGGGTAAGCGGAGCAAGTTTCTTTGCTGATGTTTTCTTCATCTGGCTAAAGGCCTTGTCGTGTTCGGCTCCCATTTCCACTTCGTTGTTTTGGAAGTCAACGAAGCGAGTGGGCCAGTACATGTGATCGTCTAATCCACATGTCTCGATAGTAGTTCACTAGTCCATAGAATCTACGGAGTTCCTTCCTGTTGGTAGGAGAGCGATATTCTTGATTCGCGTCTATTTTCTTGGTTATAGGTTGGATCCCTTCTCGAGTAATCCAGTAACTCTAGGTACTCAAGTTCTCCTCTTGCGAAGAAGGACTGGTAGCATTGATATGAGTCCGGCTTCTCGAAGCCTCGGAACTTCATCCAACTTTTCAACGTGATCTGCAAGATCGCCGTTAGTTAGGATGAGTAGATCATCAATGTATGCACGGACGTATTCTAGTCGTGCATTAGTGTCCCATCTTCTCTTGGAAGATGTCGGGACTATTACATAGGCCCATTGCAAACCTCTGGTACTCATACTTTCCCCACGGGAGTACGATTGTACAGAGTTGCTCTAGTGGGTGACAGCTCGATGTGATAGTATCCATGTTCAGGTCAGACTGTAGCGTACTTGAATCCTCTAGATTCAGAGCATGTCCTGTATTTTTGGGATAGGAATAAGGCTTACGCTTAATCCTTTTGTTCATTCCGGAAATCAGAGATGAATCGTACAGATTCCTCTTTCTTGGAATGATGAAAGTTGGTGCCGCCACTCGGAACGGTTTACCTTCTTGAGTACTCCTGCCTCGCAGAGACGTTCAACCTCCATCTTAAGAGTGTTGGTAGTGACCCGTGGAATAGGGTAGCCCTTGCATGATAGGATTTAGCATCAGGGAGAAAGTTCTACTTCGTAGTCGTCCATCTGCCACTTTCCAAAGTACCATCGAATAGGTCAGAGTACTTCGTCAGTAAGTAGTGAAGCTGTTCCTTCTCTCCGTGTTTAACGATCTTTACTTTGCAAACCTGCCTTAAGTCAGCTTGTTCGTATTTCGAATCAAGAATCTTCTTGAGACGATCTGCAACTGTCATCGATAGCGGCAGGATCAGGAATGAAAAAGTTTTCTTCTTCATTGGTGTCGCTGTCTTTCATAGAATAGATGCGCCGTCCCATTCCACTGACATGGTAGTGAAATCGAACTTGAAACCTAAGTCAGAGAGAATATCTCGACCTATGATCATGTCATACGCCCCCAAGCTCTGTGACGTGTAAGTCCCACTCGATAATTCTATCTTCGTGGAATTCAGGAATCATGAATGCACCTTTGCACTTCGTGCTGGTGTTTAATTCTCCTGCAGGGTAGTCCACATCGTTTGGACGCCACCAAGATCCTTCATGCTAATTTCTTAGCATGAGGTTGAGCAATAAGGTTCCGGATGCTCCTATCCAGCAAGCAACGGAGTGTAACGGGTTTTGGTTTCCCTTTTTCTCGCTTGTTAAATCTAACATAAACGATGGGTTTGAGGTCTCTTGTCTTGCGACGTTTACGAGGTGGTTGGCCACGGACGAGGTTAACGATGCTAAATAGATCATCAGAGTCTAGTTGAGCAGCTTCTAGGCAATCATCTAATTTGCCGTAGAGTTCATCAGTTGCAAACATTCTTGTTTACTAGTTAGTGAGATATCTTCATCACTTTGGTATGAGAAATCGGAACAGGTTCCGTTGAGTCATCATCCTGGCCTAATCCTCAGATAGAGATTCTCCATCCAAGTTGATTAAAATTGATAGAGGAGTTGTCCTCATTGTCAGAGTCTTCTGATTTGCGCTTGGCAACATGGTTGCGAAGTTTGCAAGTGGTGGTACGAGTATCGTCGATCTCGTGTTCTTCGTCATTGTCGACGAGAGGAAGAATGGTTTGTCACGCAACTGTTTCTCAAAGTTGCGAACGCATGCTTTCTTGAGCCATCTTCATGGTGAGGAATAGGTTGAGGGTAGCTGAAAGCTATTGTGTTTGTTAACAAAATGCACTAGAAAGCTAGTGTAAGATCTTTCGAGTGTTTTGAGTTTGAGAAGATGAAAGTTATGAGAGAGATTAGAAAGCTATGAAAACTAATCAACGAGAGAGACACAACAAAGGATCGTAGATCTGGCTTCCCGCGGGAAGACTATAAAGTGTGATAGAGTAGGTTGTGGTAGTAATCCTACGCTCTCCACGATCCTAAAACGGAACGACGGGAACAACAGGATGTCGAGTGGACTGAGATCTAAGGTGCGGTGGAATACTGCCACGCTGGCTAAATACTAGAGCGATGTTCATCATCAACCATAGACTGCGAGGTCATGAGAACCCGTCTCAAATACTATCACAGAGAGACTCAGTCATGAGTCGAACTCAAACCCTATCTATATCGGGAGCGAATAAGGTAGGAGCCGTGTATTGCATGAACTCGTCGCAAGTTCACGGCCTCAATCGTGACAGAACCCAACATCCGTTTCAAAGCAAACCGGAAATACATTAAGGAACGTCCGAACGCAACGACTTATCCAGAAAAACACAGATAAGGAGAACACGGCACGTGTCCCTCATCAACACCATGTCAACGACACTATGATGATTCATCAGTATCAGAACCGTTTGTACGGTCAGCCAACGCATCAAGGTCCTTACCACACAGACACGAGTCAATAACAATGGCACTACGGCTCCGCAGAAAACAGCTACTGGCAGCAGACATAACAATCGCCAATAGACAGGCACATCTACCAGACTTACAACAAATATATACACACCTACAAGGCCCGACATCCTTGTAAGAGTTGCGCATCGGATAGCGACGCACATGTTACATCCCAATCTCGTAGAGCAGTCCTCTCAGAACTTGTACTTCAGCTCACAACGGATTTCACTATAGTTTCGCGTCACTTTATGTCTCCTGTTCAGTGATCCTGACGCTATGTACGTGCCTATCCGTGCAAACCCTTGCAAGCAGAGGCGGAATCAGATAAGACAAATACGGCGAGTCTTCGAGCGCCTACCGACTCGATGCCTAAGATATGCGGTTTGAGTTCGACTCATGATCTTCGTGAGTCTTCGTGCAAAACGGCATTATCATTGAGACACTGAGTGGGTTATCTCCTATGATCCGCCTAGTCATACTAGTTGATGGTGAACATCGCGATAGATATTTATCTGTCGTGGAGAGATTCCACGCTTCTAGATAAATGCCATGCTGACGAATTCATTCACGCGTTCCGTTTTGGAATGTGGAGTGAGTAGGATTGCTACGCAAACTAATAGCTATCACTACTCTACAGTCTCCCGCGGGAGTTCAGATCTACGATCCTTTGATTGTGGATCTCTCTCGTTGATTAGTTTTCATAGCTTTCTAATCCTTTCATAACTTTCATTCTCTCAAACTCAAAACACTCGAAAGATCTTTACACTAGCTTTTAGCGTAGTGCAACAACAAACAAAGCCCGACGCAGGAGTCCACGAAAGATTCCTGCTTCCGGGCTGGTTGGATCAAATAAAATGTCATCGGTACGGTGCATCCAGTGGAACAGGTCCAACTTGACAAGTGCATCTGGAAAGACCCCCTGCAGCTGGTTTCGGACTTGACAACAATTGTCCACCCAGATCGCGTGAATGGTACATCCAAGATGATCGAACCTTTTCTTGAGCAGCTCCAGATCCTTCTTTGCTCCTCTGTCTCCATAGCTCTCAGATCCTGGGTACATTTTGTGGAAAACAGTTTGGGCGTCTTCATTTTGGATTGTGAGTTGGCAACCGTAAGGGGCAAAGCTTTCACCGCGACCAGTCCAAACCTTCACTCGCTGGGCGAGTTTATAGTTCCAATCCATTTTCAAACAATTCGCTGGAATATTTCTCATCAATGCATCCTGCAGATCCTTTCGAAGGCAGTGATCGGTGGTGATAAGACGATCGATAGTTGCCTTGGAAGGAGGCCGGCAGTTGTACTTCTCGGTGTCATTGATTTGCGAGAAAGGTGGGGGCTTATCAGTTGTTTCAGCCACCTGTTCTGCTTCTTGTGAAACTTGCTGTGCGGCTTCTGCCAGTACGGCTGTTGGATCCTCTTCCTCCATAACTAGCTTCAGCATGTCAATATCCAACGTAACCTCCTCGTAGTCCTGCATTGCACGGTCTCGTTCCACTTTCACTTGCTCATAGTAGTCTTGCACGATCATCTTCCACTGCGGGAGGATAGCTGGATTGCCACCCGGGAAAAGCAAAAGATCTCGAGTAGTGAAGATATTGTTCTGTACCAACAGTTCGAGCTTCGCTTTTCCCAGCCCCTTGAAGGGCTGATGAATATTATTCCTGTTTGCTTTCTTGTCCAGTAAATCACTGAAACGGACTTCTCCCTCGTATTGTTCTATCTTGAACTCCATTCTTCGCTTGATCACGTCGCATTTGTGCATCAGGTTGCTCAAATGCTGCTCATCTCTGCTTGGCCTCGCCTGAGCCTTTGGGAGCATCGAATCAATTGTACGCTGTGTGCCATCACCAACAGCTACGTTACCCGGTAGTGCCTTGACCTTGTCAGCGTCAACTGCCCTATAGTAGTACATAGCTTCAGACAGATATTGGTCAGAATGCAACTGGACAACGCGGCGATGGATGGTGGACGTGCTATCAAGTGAATGAGCGATCACGTAGTTGTACAGCTCGTCATCCACAGCAAAGCCCCGTGACAGATGAATATTGAATAGACCAGTTAGCTTGTTCGCATCCAGTTCCATTGACCGCTCATTATAGCCATAAAACTCTTTCTTGCAACCATGACACTTGTAGCTCATGGTGTCAAGATAGCGCTGACTCCTCAAACCAAACAAGACTTTTGGCTGCTTCACCCACTTTGCCTCGTTGACGTCAATGCCATCACAACGCTCGCAATTGGGGCAAGAAGGGATGTGATTGGGAATTAAATAGTGAGGAATCCATACAACCAATGGCTTCACGTAGATTGCTTCACCCAGGATGTTCGACTTATCCTGCGCTAAGCAAGTATTGAATCCATTCTTTGGCTTGATGTTCATCCAGTCATGAGATGCAAAAAACGTTTGTCCTTGACTAGAGATAGCATTTCGAGTTGTAGTAATGAAGCGACGCTGAGCTACACCAAATGGAGGACCACCTTTTCCCTTGCTCCGTTGTTGGAGCAAGGCGTTCGATGGCATGGTGATCGACAACAACAAGCAGCACCACAACGTCAACGGATTGAGATAATGATTGTGGATTCCTGGTGCAACACTAAACTAACCTTTAGTAGGACCCCATCATTGGCATTGCTATCAAGCCACGAATGTTACTACGTAGACTACTACGATCTTTACTACTAGCAACCTGCACCGATTCCGTTGACAAGTTTGCCCATGCTCCGGCGACCTATGATTTTTTACCAATCGGGATTGGATTGACCATCCTCGGGTAGCTTGCTAGAGAGTTTGGAGCCCCCCGGCTCTGATTTGTTGACAGTGTGACTAACCGTGATCACTTACTGGACCCCTAGCGGCACTGTGTGTAGCAGTGTACTTTGGGTGCAGCAGCATTGCCTCATGGCCGGTATAAGGCGTTGAAGTATCCAATCTGTTTAGGGAGGGTGCCAATCGCTTGTGCAACAACATGTTTATGTGCTTTATGACAGACTAGACTAACCTCCGGGTTTTCTTTCTTTTTCTTTTTTTTTTCTTGGGATAATGTGGGGTTATGCTACTCTACGTTACCTAACCACGACTTGATCCTTGGATGTTCCGAGAAGACCAGGACTCAAAAGGAGAGTTCCTTGAGTCGAGTCAGAACTTAGAGAGCTGTCAGAGTCGAGTCACTAGCGTTAATACGATACTGTACTCGAAAGCTACAGTGTACCATGAGCTGTACTATGCACAAATATATACCGGTATATTGTTGTTATTAGTCGGTTACTTGGGTGCAAAGAGAGACGTCACTTAGTTTTCTCCAACTTCGGTACTTAAATTAAGTTGACAAGCGGCCTAATCTACTTAAGCGACCAGGCCGAAAACGAATTAAAGAAAACAAAGATATTTAAAGATCATGTCAGTTTCAAATTCTCGGCGAGAACAACATTTTAGTCGCTCCGGCCGATTTGAAGATTGCTCACACGCTTCCTCTGAACTCCTTCGAGAAGCCTGATGAAACTCCCCACCTGGGGCTCTCAATTTTTCTTGATTCTTGACGCCTTGAAGGTTGTTGTTCCCAGAGCATCACAGCCGCATATCTCAATATCTCAATCACCAAATACCTTGGTTCTTGGTTGATAGCAACGGCTTGATTCAAGGTCTCACAAAACAAGCAACTAGACTAGAACCAACCATCAACCAATCAACAGACCATGAAGCCCTTCAGTACTGGCATCAACTCCTCTTGCACTACCAACGGCAAGAAGAAGAAGAAGAAGAGTCACCTTCCTAGTATGCTGTCGCCGAGACTGGGTTCATTGAGTTGGCGACCGCGAACGCAAGAAGAGATGGCTCGAAAGAAACACCGCAGAGTGATCAGCCAACATCTCAAGAAGATTGGTAAAGGAGCAGGACGCGAACTATCTCTCGATCACAATGGTGTTTGCTGCTTTACCTTCAAGAAGTTTGTTGTCGTTTTGGAAGTCCCTGAAGAGAACAGCGATGTTTGCCTCGTCTACTCCAAAGTCTGCCATGTCTTGCCAGAAGAGAATATTGCAGAAGTGAAGCGAATCATTGAGGTTTTCAACGAACGACAACAGCGAGGTAGCAGTAACAATGACATTCCGGACTCGTCGTCAATCTCGGAGAGCACCGATTCCATCAGCGAAGCGGCAGATCCTCTGCAAGCCACCACGATGCTCGCCATGAAAGACGAGGAAGAAGTGAATCTCATCTTTTCCGTCCCAATTCAAGGACTCTCCTTCCAAGACACTGCCGATCACTTGGAGCGGTTCATCAAGACAGCAGTCTTGGCCAATCGCAAGCTGCACAAGGCGAAAATCCTGCCCATTCCAATGCCACAACAAGAACCACTGGATGAATCCTCATCGTTTCGAGGTCGTCGCCCTCGCATGTGGTCAGTGGAATCGCAAACATCCATCTCTGACCTGTCACAAGGGGGTCTCTTCTCCTTATTTGCACGGTGAAGGACCTCAAACAGAATCTATAAAAGACAGTATGGTGTACAGTACATACATGTACAGAGAAGAGAAGCTGCTGTAGCTAGCTAAGTAACACGATAGAGAAAGGCTATACTTGATATACAGACTCTACTTCAAGATGATCATATGTACCTTCCCCATCATCCTATCTTGAGCTTGTGCTTCAGTGAAACTTTAGCATCATTTGCGGAGGAATGACCTTTTTGGTTGAAAGGGCCCATGCCTCGCATCAGGTGGGGCCCGGCACAAACCGTCAGACACAGACTTCATTGCCGGCCATTCATGTTGCGCTTTCGGTACCGGTAGTTGGTTGTTGTGCTACCTTTAGTACCCGTGTTGACTTGACTGGTTTTGGCAACCCAGTATTTGCGACACATCACTTCTTGAGGTCGCCCTTGTTCGACAATCTGGCATGCCGACTCATAGACACGTAAACTACATGTATGCAGATAGTCTACTAGTAGCTAGGAATGCGCTTCGCTTCCCAAATCTGCATCTGGTAGCAGCTTGCTAGCTAGGAACTCGTTTATCTAAGCCATCTATCAAATGCAGCAACAAGTGAGAGTGCTAAAACACTGTGTTTGAAAGAGTCTATCCACCCTGTCGCGCAGTTCTGAGATACCTCGTTCTCTTCTCTTACTCGGGGAAAGGGCGGCACAACAGCAGCACGCGCTGCAGATACTGTCATGGCACACTTGTCTAGCTAGCTAGGAGAGGAAGGAGAACAAAACTTGGCGTGGCTTGGTTGCTTCTTTGGAAGCCTCTCTTTCGCTTTGCGAACTCCCACTACTTGACGCCGTCTGCACGAAGCCTCCTTGCTTTCGTCGCAGTTTGTCTCGTTTCGCAAGGATGGCTGATCCAAGAGGCTTGGAACCCGTGCTGGCGGTCCCGTTATCGGACGTGTTCGACTCAAACGACGTTGCATCTTCCGGCTGGACAGCATTGTTTCCACCCCCGGCAACAACTGTCGTAGAACCTGTCGGCGATGTCCTCACGCTTGCAACCGAGGACTGCTCACTGTTGCTGATGAGATGATGCTTGCTGTGCTTTTTTCCATAATCCCAGGTGCGCCTTGCCAGCATTGACGTACACGTGCTGCCTAAGTCGATTCCGCATCCCGATTCATCGCAGCGAAGGCGAAAATTTGGCCGAGTGGCAACCGATAGGTTTTGCGGCTGAGAGGATTCTTTCCCTCCAGCTTGCTGCTGGGAAGCTTGAAACACAAAGGGGAAATAGCAATCCGCACATTGATTGCTCTCATCGTTCGAGCTTGCCGGTGTTCCCATCTTCGCATTCTTCTTTGACGTCGTGCTTTTCTCCATTTTTCGATTGATATGTCTTGACTTGCGCGACGGTGTATTGAGCAAGTCTTGGGTGTGGGTAGACGACTGTGTAACAATGGAGTTGCTCTCTTCTTCCGCACTTGTAGATTCATGGCGATGACGATGGGGTTTTACCGCTAGTGGCGGCATTAATGGTATTTCACCCGATTTTGTCATGTAGAACACCATGTCACTAGCAAGTGGCGGTTGGTCGTCTCGGGGTGTGTCTTCCGGAATAACCATTGGTTCTTCATCTCGAGACTCTTGTAAGTTGGCCATCACCGGTGACGACGACGATGATTTCCCCAATCGTCCGTCTGTGGCTTTGCGAGATCTCCTCGCGTTCTTGCCCGACAAAGAATCCTCTTCGGCTCTAGAACGCGGCGAGCAAGGACTGTCTATCCATGATATGACTGGCTGTTCTGGGTCTGTTTCTGTTTCAAGCATCTTCTGGTGCGGGTTCTGGATTTCCCCGTCTTGGCCATCATCTTCCTGGTCCCCAAGCAATTCGTTCAAAATACTTGAAGGAGATTGCCTGTCGCCCTGGGGAGACTCTGTTTGGCTTGCACGGATTTCAACGTATCGGTTCGAACTGCTACCTGTGCTATAATCTGAACTGCTTGCTTCGAGATCATCATACTGTCGTGCATTGGCATGATCACCTGATTTGCCGGGAAGACGTGTTACGGGAGGGAGAGGAGGGCGATTGGGTACCGGTAAGGGTTTCGGCGGGAGCGGTGGTAACGACCTAGTGGGTGATGTACCGCTCCACGAAAGCGATTGCTTTGTCACTGACGTTGTCCTTTTATCCTTCACCAATTGTTTTCTTGTTTCGCCACTAGTTGTTCTGGGGCGACGTAACGCTGGAGGGCCCATGTCAAGAGACTCGTAGTATTGGTCTTCGCCATCTGATGACTCCGACGAACCGCCGAGCTGATTCAACTTTTCCTGCAGTTCGTCTTCCAATGTTCTTCCGTTGTCTGCATCCCTACCCCGGCCAACAACACCTCCCTCGTCGGCGTCTATGATGTCGTCTCGTTCAGGCGGATTGAAGCGGATATTGAATGATTGGATCTCTTGGGAAGATATAACTTCGTACCCTAATCTACTCGCGCCCTCCACGTCGCCGTGAATGTCGTCAGACGAGTCTGTAGAACTGCAAGCAAGGAAACCATTGCCAATTCCTTGCTGCATTTCCTCCGTGACCTCGCTCGTCTCGGTCGGTACCGGTACTGCTTGAGTTCTGGACTGTGCAGCGAAAGAGCACATCCGCTGCACCTCTTTCTTGGCCTCTTCCATGGTATCCTTGAGGCCTTTCTGCATTGCTCTCAACTTTGCATTCGAGTCTTCGAGCTTAGCGTTCTCTTCCGTCAAGTCGTTCTTGGCTTTCTCCAATACATTCATGGTGGACTGGACCACCTGAAGCTCTATGGACAGCTTTTGATTGCCATCCTCGAGTTGATAGTTTTGTTCCTGGAGCTTTTCTTGGAACCCTTTTACTTCTCGGAATTTTGTCTCGAGCTCTTGTAGCCTTGATCGAAACGATTCTTTTTCATCTCGGAGACTCTGATTCTCCCTGGCGATCTCTCTGTTCGACTCTTCCAATGCCTGGCACGTTTCACGTGTTTCTTGCAAAGCAGTTTGAAAGCCCTCTTTTGATCCTTCAAGCTCTGTGCAGTTTGATTCTGCTGTGTAAAGTTGTGATCGGCAGGTATCTCGCTCGTCCTGAAGAAGCTGGCTTTGAGTCTTCAATTCCATTGTTGACACTTCCAGGATCAGGGCTTGAGCCTGCAATGATTGTGCTTTCGATTGAAAGTCATCACGTTCCTTCTTCGCCTGCAGTATTTGCGCTTCAAGTTGGCTGTTTGACTCTTCTAGCTTTTGGCAAATGGTCTCCAAAGCCTTGCATTTGTCTTGAAAGTTGTCCTTCTCATCCAATGCATTGTGCTTCTCGGATTCGTGTTCATCTGTCAATGCCTCCAACTTTTCACGTTTGTCCTCAAGAACTTTGCATTTCGACTCCATCTCCGTACATTCATTCCTTAACTTGAAATTCTCAGCCTCAAGGTGTGAAAATTGACTTTGGAGCTCGGCGCATCTCTCTTCGAGACTCTGACAATGAGCCTGCAGCCTTTCTGCCTCCTGTGCCTCCAGGGATAGTTGGCTGTTGCGTTCTTCAAGTCTTTCAATGGAGTCCCGCAGTTTCTGATAAGTATCGTCCGTCTCAAATGCAGCTTTTCGGAGCTGGCGGTTTTGCGTCTCGAGTTCTAAGAACGAGTCTTCCAAAGCTTGATGCTGCGATTCTTTCTTCCTGGAATCATCGAGCAGCTTGAAGTTCTTGGCTTCCAGCTGCCGAACTTGCGTTTCGAGTTCCAGATGCGAGTCCTCTAAAGCTTGATGCTGGGACTCTTTTTTCTTGTTCTCATCCAGAAGCTCACAGTTTGAAGCTTCTAGCTGTGCTATTGCAGCTTGATGTTGAGACGCTTTTCCCCTGCTGTCATTGATGAGTTCGGCATTCTTAACTTCAAGCTGTGCTATTGCAGCTTGGTGTTGGGATGCTTTCTTTCTGCTGTCTTCTACGAGCTCAGCATTTTTGGCTTCTAGCTGTGCTATTGCAGCTTGATGTTGGGATGCTTTCTTTCTGCTGTCTTCAACGAGCTCACCATTTTTGGCTTCTAGCTGTGCTATCACAGATCGATGTTGTGATGCTTTCGTTCTGCTGTCTTCAACGAGCTCACCATTTTTGGCTTCTAGCTGTGCTATCACAGATCGATGTTGTGATGCTTTCTTTCTGCTGTCTTCAACGAGCTCACCATTTTTGGCTTCTAGCTGTGCTATCACAGATCGATGATTGCTTTCTTCCTTCCTGCTCTCCTCGATGACCTCGCGATTCTTGGCTTCGAGCCGTGCGATGACAGTCTCGAGCTCCCTTTGATGGAATTCGAGAGTCTCTATCTTCGATTCGTAGTCTGCCCTCGAGGTGCTCTGGTAATCCGGTTGTGGGTTGGTGGAGCTTTTCAGCTCGACGTATTTTGATTCAAGCGCCTGGTACTTGGATTCGGAAGTCTCTTTGAGACTGATAATGGCAGAGTAACATTCCAGAAGCAATTTTTGGTTGTCGTTTGGTTCCGTGTCTTCGGCAACTGGCAACGTAGTAACTCCAGATTGCAGTTCCGGGTTAACCATTGGAACCGTTTCGGTTACTGTCTCCGGTGGAGTGTCGTCTTTCATGGTGGGGTCTGGATCTTCTTCTTCGAATGTCTTTCTTGAATCAAGTTGGTCCCTTGGCTTAGGAGGACTTTGACTGCGGCTACGGCTACGGCTAAGCTGTCGTTCAAGCTTCAACCGTTCTTTCCAATGTTCTCGCGCCTGTTTAGCGCGATTGACTGATTCCTGAGGTTGTCCCTTTTCCCGTACACCATTTGACTCTCCTACTAAGCCAGCCTGCTCAGGTAGAGACCGTCGCACCTCGGGTATTCCAAGCTTTTGATGTCTATCTGGAATCTGCTGGGGCGGAGAACGACTTGCTCCTCTGATTGGTTGCACTGGATCTTGTACATCGTCTGTTTCTCTTGGGCGGTGTTCGTCTTTCGAGCCATACTTATACGTAGATTCTCCGGATTCGTGTACATGATCATACTTCGTTCGATTGGTTTGCTGCGTCCAAGCTATTTGGGAGGGAAACGGATATACAGGTACTACAAGTTGGCCTGGTTTCTCTTCGTAGTCACGATGCTTAGGGTTCAGGGATGGGCTTGCTTTCATCTGAGGCTTTCCTGGCTCCCTTTCCTGATCATAGCCTCTTTGCCGGGATGATGAAGATCCGTGCGCTCCTTCATTGATCTGAACTGATTCCGCTGCACTAATATCATGTTCTCTTAGCCCTTTCCGGGCCTGAAACATTCTCTTCTGTTCTTTGTGCGACGATTCCCTTGCGCGGTGTTGTTCCCTTGGCCGGACAGCAGCATCCACCGCTTCATCTTGGTGGTTTCGTTGGAATGATCGTCTTTCTATTGGACTGTGATGTCGACGTACATGCTGGTTGATATGTTGCGGTTGCGTTTGCCTCCTCAAGTGCGCGTGGTCCTGACGCTGAACATCTTGCTCATCGTCTTGTTGACATGACCGCACGTTATTGGCTTCCGCAAAGGAATTAGTTTCTGCTCCATTTCGTCCCCGTACTGTAGGTTGTTTTTGTTTGCTTTGTTGCAAGTCTTTGATATGGTAGTTTGCCTGAATATTCTGTGCAACATTCGCTTTCCTTTCAACACCAGGTGGGATTTGCTGTGGACTGACGACTCTTTGCATCTGGTTGGCGTGTTGTGGGGTTCTAGACCCGGGGTTGTCGGACTTCAGAGCTTCGGTATCAGAATTGTAACCAGAGTAAGTTCGAGGCCGCAGACTAGGGAGCTGGCCTTCCCTCCCCAGCTTTTCAACCTTGGTTGAGTGGACAAAAGCTGCTGAATCGGCACGCAACTCTAATTGATAGTCTCTGCCGCGGCCGGTTGGGCTTTTCCCTTGATCCCCCCGTTTGAATCCCCCGTGCTTCATCGCATGCATTGATGAAACTATTGGTGGTGGACTCAAGTACCCCGAGTGTATTCTGGATGTTGACAACGCAAGTTTTAGAGAGTTGTCCTCAATTGATGAAGCGTCAGAGCTTGAGCTGCTACCAAACTCTTCCAGGGAATTTTTTGGGGTAATCGTGTTCTTGGTCTTCTCCGTGATCTCAGTAGTAGCCACAGAAATTACCGGGCTCTGTGCGCCTATGGTCGTCGTGGGTGATTTTGCCGCATTGCTGAACTCATCATCAATACTAGATTCTGCATATTCGCGTAGCTTGTCAATTGTATCGTCCGAATCTGTGCTTGACGCTTTGCGTATGTCAGGAAGTTGTAGCGATTTCTTCGCCATTTTGACTTCTCTCTCCAGGCTCTCGGTAGAGCCACTCGACGACGAATCATAGATCGATAATTTGCGCGCGAAAGTGGGACTCCTCATGGGGGAATGATCGTTTTTGAGCTTGAGATACATGTAGGACCCCGATGGTTGCATCAGTTGGGCCCTGGTGTCTCCGATGTATGGAACTGTCAGCGGCTCAGACGGGTCAGAACGAGCGTCGCTTTCCGATTCCCTCGATTGCTTCCTTTCATAGTCGTCACGGCCTTCCACAAACAAGCTTGACTTTCCCTGGTTGCTGCTCTGACAGGGGCTCGAGATTTCACTGGAACGTTCATCGAAGGGTATCTCGCTGGAGTCCTTTGAATCAGATGTTCCAATGTCCGAGCGTGATCTCCTCGCTGATGAACTCATTTGCTCCTGCTCCATCTGCTGCTCAATTCGTTGCACAATTTCCCTTGTATCGCTGGAGATACACGTAGCCACACTCCCACTGCCGATCAAAAGGCGCGCCTTGTTGTTACTAATCTCCTCGATTGCGTCCGCTATTTCTAGTAACGAATATTCCATGTTGTTGTTCTATCTCCAATCAACGATCTCGAGAGCAACGTCGTCAATCCATGGCCAGCTTTGGCATGCCACCAAGCACAGGGCTAAGATTGCTGAGGTCCACTGAGGTCAAGTCGAGTGTTGGGGCGAACAGAGCGCGCCATACATTTGTAGCCATCGCCAGATTTATTGTAACTAGCAATAATGTTGGAGGGAGTGCTCGCAGATGTGTAAATCGACTTGCTCTCGAGCTCTAGTCACCGTACCCTTCAGTGTCGCCAAACTGAGCTGCGTCCAAGGTGAGTGGTAAATTGCGGGGGTGTCTCTGCTGGCTATCGGTAGAGTACCGGTACCAGGTACTCGTACCGTACAGTACGCACATGTATGCACAGGGGTATCGTACTGTACGGTCATGTACGATACAGTACTAGTACCTGGTACCTTTACAGTATGGTACCAGTACCGGTGGACTTCTTACGAATAGAATTCTATTTTAAGGCTACTCTGAGTACGACTATCCACCGTGCCGCTACCCTAAACCGATAACCCCCACAAACATTGGGGCGGAGAGAGTTGGCCCCCTCAGCCGGGAAAGTTTAAAACCCAACCGAGGCAAGATATTAAGGGGAAGGTCACCAACCGGACCCGCCCGTGCTGCTGCTGTCATCAGCACTGCTACTAGCTGCACTATTGCTGATAGTGTCAACACTGCTGTCATCTAAATCAAGGTCAGACCCGAAAGCCTGATCCAAAGTTGCTGCTGCCTCATGGAAGGCTGCGGCCAGTTGTTGCTGCTCTCTACTTGCTTTGTCCACCACTGGCATCCAATTTGAAAGCCAGGCTTTGATATTGGATGGTGCCATTTCCATTTGGTCCTCTAGTGGCCTTTTGAAAATGGAGTTGACAAGAGACCGGTGGACTTCTTGAAGATGGGAGGATGCAGACTTGACACCCTTTGGCCATGTACTGCTATGGTTTAGCCTTAGTTCCTCTCATTAAACGTCTTCATCATGAGTTCCCTCACCTTCTGCATCTCTGGTATGCTGACGATGTCAATGCTGCCGGCAAATTTACTGATTTACAATTGCTTCTAGACCGTCTTATTCGGCTAGGCAAACCATACGGCTACTTTGTTCAGCGCAATAAATGCAACATTATTACTCACAGTGCCAATTTTCACAGAGCCACCACGCAGTTTACGCGTACCTGCGGCTCTCAACTCAAAGTCACCAACGGTGCCAGATTTCTTGGTGGTCATATCGGCGAACCTGAAGCCCTTTCCTCCTGGGTCTATTCCAAAATCACAACTTGGACGGCCTGCATCTAAGAAGCGCATAATGGGGTCTCGCGAAAACAGCGAGGTCTGGAAGGTACCGAACGACATGCGTCCCTAGGCGATTGGTGACGTCATTGCTCCTGGATTTGGATGGTGTTTGTTGTGGAACATGTACTGGGTTCTCCATTGGGTGTGGCAGTATGCACCGTTTTGGAACCCTGCATGCACCTAAATTCCCAACCCATAGGTACCGACCAATTTTGTGGTCCCGTTTAGTCCGCTATGCCATACAATGAACATGGAAACTACATACAGAATCCGGTACAGAGCGGTTTGGGGGTTAGCTTTGGTAACCACACTCACATTTTGTAAGGTCGTGTAGACATTTGCCTAAGGTATTACAGTTCCTTTATACGGGCTAGCAGATCGGCAATTACTAAGCTAGCTACTCTACTAGTTGTATCATGGTTATTGGTATTGCGACTACTTTAAAGCTTGGTTTGAAAGCAAGAGGGCACTAAGTGCTCACACTAACCAATCTCGGAGTTGCATTGCAGCAAGGCAGATTTCACTTGGCATTGGCAAAGCGACAACAAGTCTAGTACTAGAGACAAATGGACGAGGTGACTACTGCAGGCTTGGTGCCACTGACACTGGAAGACCCGCTAAAGCACCACTGGCAAGTTAGAAGATCTGCAGGAGAGGAGAGAGGCACAGCAAGTCAAATGCCAGCCATTCCACAAGACATGGTGGAGGTAGATCAAATTGCTTGGGCCAATGCAAGATGGTGGTGGTTTGGTTCTGAAAGCGAGGAAACCAATTAGAAAACCAGCAGCTGACGCGTTTGGAACCCGAGATGACGGCAATGCGGAAGCAAAAGAGGAGGAAGAAACAGAAGCCATAGCCGCAACTGATGGAGGGAGGAGGAGTGACGGACGATTCGCAAAGAACAAGATAGATGAATGTAAATGAAGACTGATGGATGAGACAGCAGTGGTGGATCAACAGCTACCCTTGTACAAATTCCCAAGGAATGGAACCATGACAATGAACCTCTAGACGATAGGAACATCAACCAACTCCGGCAATATTGTGCAGATTCAAAGAAGACGTTCCTCTCCTTGGATAAGAAACAGGCTCGGGGTGTCAAATTGATGGAAATCCTTCGAAAGAACAAGGCGCCTTGTACTGCGTATGATGATGTGTTGACATTGCACTTGGATGAAACTGGAGCCCTATTGGGTGACGAGAAGCTTGGAGAGGTTCCGGAGTACTTGAGCCGGATAAAGTTGATGAGCTTCCTCATGACAAGATACATCATGGGTGGCAAATTCCCTTTCACAAAAGACCTTGTGCTTCAACATTCAGGTGCTAACATCAAGGTGGTGTGCCACGATTCTCGCCATTGTGTGTGGCAAATTGGCTATGCCGGATCCCGCTCAAGGACGACATGCTGAGACGATTTCTGCTTTTTCGATAACGATCACTAGCTCCAACCACCTAAAACGAGTACAAAATAGTCAGTTGAACACTGGTGAGGCGATGGTGCCATTTCCATTTGGTCTCTAGTGGCCTTTTGAAAATGGAGTTGAAAGAGACCGGTGGACTTCTTAAATGGGAGGATGCAGACTGTTGCTTAGTAATACTGCAGTTATTGGGGAGTAATTTGGTTTTGGTTAAGCTGAAAAGCAAAAGTGAGGATTTTCTGGTGGTGCATAGCAATTCTTGTGATTGAATTGGATATAAGGACCCCGCAACACTTAGACCTAAAAACTCCCTTGGTTCCTTTGCATGATCAATTTACATGCGAACCGGACTAGATGATTATAAACGAGTCAATAGTAAAGAGGTGTCAGGTATGTTTCCTCAACACACTCCTGCACGGTGCCCTAGTGGCTACCGTGGAACGAATAAATAAATTAGGAATCAAAACAAGGGGTGGATGCCCCATGATGAAAGCCCTGATGCTCGTGGAAGAGCTTGCCCTGAAGGGCTTCGTGAAAAAATCTCCACGCATCTCCAAGGTTGGGCAGTACACAACTCTAAGGTTGCTTTTTCCAATCTGGTCATGAATAAAAAGAAACGAATATTGAT